CATGCCTGAGGGTACCAGCTGGCAAGTGGCAAAGGCAGACTTGGTCCAAGCCAGTCTGATAGTTGAGCCAACTTGCTCTTAGTGGAGGCCCTTGCTCTTAGCCACCAGGCTGGTTGGCCTCATCTCCACTGTGGCCCCTAGAGGCTGTCTCTTGGGGCCCCCCATGACACCTGCAGAATATGGGGGCATGCTGTGGAGAAGCAGACCCCTCCTCCCATGGGCAGCTGGTCTGTTTGGCAATATGAAAAGGGTCAAGGTGGGAGGTTGTCTCTGAGATACAGGGGCTGATGCTCAGCTCTGACCCCCACCCCCACCCGTGTTCTTGCAGGAGCCCAGCATCGGGGAATCCAAGAGTTTGACCAGGGTTCAGGCCCCCTGGATCCAGGAGGGACACTTTCTGGGCCCTCGGTGATGGGCAGGGTGGTTGTCACTTGTCAGAGGGGCAGGGATAGGAGGTAGCCTTCTGGGAAGGCTGAAGGGAGATTCAGGGGTGGAGGGGGGAGAAGTGAGGGACTCCAGGCTCCAGCCGTGAGATTCTAGAGGTGCCCCCACACCCCAAGCTGCGGACCCATCTCTCCCTGCTTGCTCCAGCCCTGGGTCTGGGCCACCCCTCTCGGACATCACCCTGGCCGGATCAGGTGCAGCCTTCCCATTCCTGACCTGGATCAGGCCCTGTCGGTGGGTGGGGACAGACGACAGCGCCTCAAAGGGCTGTGCGGCAGAGGTTGCCTAGAGACAGGCCCACCCGGACCCAGGCCCAAGTGATGGGAGAACAAGGGGTCTTGACACCGGAGGACCGCCCCATTAGAAGCAGAGGGCACCAAGGCTCGGGGGGGGGGGCAAGTGGCCTGCTTGAAGTTCAGAGCTGTCACCTTGCAGCTGGGCCCACCAGCCCTCACCGGGGGGTCTGGGCTGGAGTCACCAGGCCCCCCACCTTGCCCTGGCCCCTGAGCCTGTCTGGTTCTGTTCCAGCGTGTTGTCCTGCACAGGCTCCTGGTCCCCGGGGGGTGGGGGGGCAGGGTCAGGTAAACAGGATCCCCGGCCGCACTCCCTGACCTTGTTTACCTCCCGAAAGAATGTGAGGGCGTTCTTCCCCTTCCCAGGCTATGAGTCACCCCTCAACAACGCCGCCAGGCTCCCGCCACTGCCTGCCCGGCCTCCATTCACCGCTTCCCACCCCCCCCCCCGCCCCCAGACCCCGGCCCCTTGCCTCCTCACCCGATGATGTCAACCCTGTCTCCCCACCCCCCCACCCCTTCCATCCCCTCCCACCCCCGTGGAGCCCACTGGGGGGGGGGGCTCTAGTCGCCATGGCAACCGCTCACAACAGGAAGCAAGGCCCCCTTGGAGGCCTGAGCTGGGGCAGAAACACAGGAAGCGGCGCTGAGCACCGCGCAGCATTGTCAGTCGCGGTAAAAAACAAAACAGGACAAAAAGATTTAATGAGAACAATTAGCCCAAAGAAAAAGGAAAAAAAAAAGGGGGCCGAAAAAACAAACAAAGCCAAACAGCCTGAAGGCAGGAGGCTGGCTGAGCTCCAGGGACCCCGTGTTTCCCCTCCCAAAACAATGTCCGTTAAATAATACTTCCTTCTCAGAAGGAGGCTCCTTGGGGGGGCGGGGGCGGGGAGGAGGGATCCTTCCCAGTGGCCCCTCTGTTGAGCCCCTCCCCCAAATTCTGGGGAGCCAATGGCTAGTTCCCCACGCCACCGCAGGTATTATTACTCCCCAAGTCCTGCGCGGGGTACATCTAATTCAGGGGAAAGAAAGGGCAGAGGCCTGGGGCACGGAGATGGAAACGAGTCCTGGCTGCCCCCCACCTCCCACCCCCGGCTGAGAGATTCTGTGTGGTGACCTGTCTCTTTCCAGCCTCAGTTTCCTCCTTCATTTCCATCCTCGCTGTCATCGCCACGTCAGCATCTTCCTCCCGCCTCACTGATTGGCGCATGTGCATAGATGCGCGACACGTGTTGCATGAACTTCGTGAAGGAATGAATGGATCAGCAGAGGTTCATGGAGGCAATTTTCAGCTCAGAATGAACTAAGAGTCAGAGACGGACAGGCAGCCCTGTGAGGGGCAAGCAGAGGTTGGGAAGACTTGGTAGGCTCCTAGAGAGAGGACTGAGCCCTGGGGAGGGGGGGTGGGGGTGAAGGTTCCTCTGGGCTCTCTCCCTCCCATGTGCTGAGGGCTATGCCTGGATGATAGTCTGGGCCCTGGGCCCTGACAGTCCTGGAGGGCAGCTGGAGGCACTGTGCCTGTTACCTGGAAGGGGACCAGGACCTCGGACGAAGCTAAGGCTCAGGGGCAGAAGGGCCAGCATCTAAGGCCTTGGCAACATAATGAAGGTGAATGACACTGGCTGGACGGTGGCAGAGTGCAGGTCACCCTCTGCAATGTTCGCCCCAGTATGTGTGATGGGCCCAGCAGTTCCTGCCAAAGCTGGTGATGGAAGGAAGCAGTGTGTGTGTGGCGGGGTGGGGGCGGGGGTTGGGGGGGCAGTGGTTGGGGTGAGGTGGATGCTTAGATGAAGAGGCTGACTGAGCTTCACAGCCACTCCCATGCAGGCAGTGGGGGCCGCTGGAGGAAACAGGCCAAAAAAGTTGATAGGAGTTTGTTGGCAATGATGAAGAGGATCGCTGTTCTACCCAGGGCCACCAGACACTCAGAGGTGTCACAAAATAAGGGGAGACCTCGTGGGAAAGAGAGGTGAGAGCTGGATCAGGGATGACCTTGAGGGCTATCAGACCTGGGAGCTGGGGTCTGATACTCTAGGCACCAGGGGGCTACTGGTGGCTTCTGAGCGTGGCAGGAATATCTGTAATTGGATAATTTAGGGAGACATCTTTGGACAGGGGCTTCTCCAATGGCTCAGTGGGTAAAGAATATGTCTGCAATGCAGGAGACACAAGAGATGTGGGTTCGATCCCTGGTTTGGGAAGATCCCCTGGGGAAGGAAATGGCAACCCACTCCAGTATTCTTGCCTGAAAAATCCCATGTACAGAGGAGCCTGGTGGGTTATGGTTCAAAGGGTTGCAAAAGTTGAACATGACTGAGCAACTAAGCTTGCTTGCTTGCTCTAGACAGATTAGGAAAGGGCAGGGGAACACATCAGGAAAGAAGAGGATGGGAGATCAGGGAACCTGGGCACTGCTGACTTGGTTTCTTTTCTTTTGAACTAACTGAGAATGATGCATAGGTGTTCAGTCAATATTTATTGAATGAACCAGTTATAGCCACCTTACACTGAGATATTTATCTTGCACACATTGTTTTGTTCATTCTCACTACAGCCCTGTGAAGTAAATCTTGTTCTTCCTAGTTTACAAATGAAAAAAAAAAAAAGGAGGTTCAGAGAAGTTGAGAATCTTGTCCTAGGCTGTACATCACAGCATGGTGGAACTGGATTCCAGCTCAGCCGACCCACCTGCCACCTCAGACACGTCACACCGCACTACCCGCCCCTGTGCTGGCCCCACGCTGGCCCACAGGGACGCTCGATGTCAAGCCCCTGCCATGCGTCTGAGGAGCCCCTGGGTTGGTGGCCTCAGCTTTCCCAGTCGTAGACTGAGGGACGGTAGAGGAAGGCCAAGACCCCTCCAAGTTCTCCCACAACCAGCCTCGAGGAAGCAGGAGCCAGATGGTCGGCAGAGAGGGCAGGGAGGCTGCCCCAGGCCCAGGTGGGGGGAGGGAAGACTGAAATGGAGGAGGGGACGAGAAGAGATCAGAAGATCAGAGAACCGCAGGGTGTCCCCGCAGGAAAAGGAACCGAGACCAGGGCTGGGGGTGGAGGAAGGAGAAGCAGATGTGGTGAGGGCCGGGAGCAGGTGCGCTCAGGGACCGGGAGGAAATGAATCTGAGTCCCAGCGCCTGGCCTTCGGGCCCTGGGCTCGCTCAGTTGGAAGCTGGGCCCCAGACACAGTAGTGTCTGGGCTTTGGGGCTGCACCTGAGGCCCTCAGGTGGGACCCGGAAAGGACTGGCCTGCCCACACCTGTCCTCCTGCCTCCTCATCCGGCGCCCCACACGCACCTGCCCCAGGAAATCCTCCTGGGGGCTGCTGAATGAGCCACAGGAAAAGGGATACAGGCTGTCTGTGGGCAGTTTGTGCCTGCAAGAGGGAGGGAGAAGGGCTGGGCATTGCAGGGAGGGGCCCCTGGGGGAATGGGATGGGTCTCCCAGGACAGCAGGTGGCAGAGGGTCATCACAGGTGGCTAAGAGTCCTGTTCTACCCCAGGGGTGGGGCCTCTGTCGAGCTGGTCCCCTCTGGGCCTCAGTTTTCCCATCTGTGAAATGGGGGCTCTTTTTCTCCGGAGAGATAGGAGGCTGGCCTAGCATTTAAGAATGTGTTGGCCCCTGGACCAGCTGGGGCTCAGTCCTGCCTCTGCAGCCACACCAGATAGACCCGAGGGTGAGAAGTTCTAATAACACAGAATCCGATGTGGTCTGCAGTGTGGAATGTTCTGGCTCCGTCGTTCGTTCGCTGTGTGGCTTGGACAAGATGCTCAACATCTCTGTGCTGTTTTCCACCTGCAAGAAGAGGGTTGTAACAGGGAAGACCTCCTGGGGTGCTGGAGGACCACAGAAGTAACACGCCTGTGAAGACAGGATACGGTTGTAAGTGCCTAGAAACCATCCTAAGATGCTTTCTAAGTGGGGATCCCCAAGACAACTCCATTTCTGGGCTCTGTGCCCAGCCTGGCCCTGAGGACAGAGGGCAACAGGCCGAGGAGAAACAGGGAGAGAAACTGGGAAACTGTCTGACCCAGAGATCGGAACCGTCCCCTTCAGCCTCGGCCTCCTGGCCCTGATCACAGGCATTGTAGGTGGGGTCGAGCCCTTGGATCCTGCCCCATGGCCTCTCTCCCTGGACTGGGTGGGCGCTTGGCACACAACAGGAGTCCCTGGGAGGCACTGGGGCCCGGGAGGAGAGTGCACAGCCTGGGGTTCCCAGTGAGTCACTGAAGGCCTCCATGTGCGCCTTGTAGAGTGAGAGCTGGAAGCATGAGGATCAGGGACGTCATCGACGTGGGCCACTCACCCTGCACCCAGGAGGTGCTCCCAGCGCTGTCCGTCTGCCCCAGCTTCCAGAACCATCAGCTCCTCACCTCCCACCGGCTGCCCCTGTCTACTGGTTCTTCCCCGCCTCCCTCCCCTACAGCCCAGACACAGCCTCAAGTGTCTGCCCTGAGAACAGACAAGCCCCTGGACCCCCAACTCCCACCTATGCCTCTCCCCTGTTCCTTTTGTCCACACCACCTCTCCACCTTCACGGTCACTCTTTTCTCCTCCCAGCCCCAGGCATTGCGTCCACACTTCATCCCTCCCTGGCAGGACCCACCTCCTGGCTGTGTAATCTTTAGCTACTTAGCTTCTCTGTGCCCTAGTTTCCTCATCGGTAAAATGGGGCTAATGGTGGTTCCTACACCATAGCGTGATGGAGAGATTAATGGAGTAACTCAGAATGTGCCTACTCATAGCAAGACCCAGCCTCAGTGCTGGGTACCTGTCACACGGCCAGTAAGTGTCAGAGCAGAGACTTGAACCCTGGGACCCTGGGACCCTGGATCCATGTCCCATTCTCTTCTGCTGTTCTGGTGACACATGCGTTATCCAGGGCGCTCCTCCGTGGGCTGTGGGGGAAGAGCAGGGGGATTGCAGTGTAGTAGAGTCATCCCAACTCCAGTAGGGGGGATCTCGGGCACAGAAAAGCAGATGGGGCAGGACCCCTTGAGGACCTGAGGTGGCACCAAAGCCCAGCCTAGAGGAACCCTCTTGTGTTGCTGCTGTGGGTCCTGCAGGTTCTGGCTCTGGCTGCCTTGGGCATCTATCCTATGAAGGAAGTCAAGGAACATGTGCTAGGCAGTCAGACACCTGGGAGCCTGGCGCCACCTGGTGCTCAGAGAGCATCTTGCTATGTTCCCAGGCTTAAGAGGACACCTGAGATACTGTAGCCTTCCCTCTGCGATCCACAGGGCCTCTTCCTCCCACACCCCCACCTTTTTTTTTTTTTTAGTGATTGTGCCAGTCTTTTTTGAAAAAATGTATTCATTTATTTGGCCGCATGGGGTCTTAGTTGCAGCATGCAGGACTTTCAATCTTCATTGAGGCCTCTCAGACTTTTAGTTAATGGCGTGGGGATCTAGTTTCCTGACCAGGGGTCAAACCAGGGCCCTCTGCATTGGGAGCATAGAATCTTAGCCACAAGATCACCAGGAAAGTCCCGAGGCTGACTCCAGCAGCCTTCCCGCCTCCTGCTGCAAAGCCCCCATTTAGTGCCCTCTTCCCCTGGCTTTGTGGAAGGCCAGCCTCTCACTGAGCATGTATTTATTCACTCAACAAATGCAAAGCCCCTCTTGTGAGCCTGGCCCTGGGCAGAGCACCAGGATGGTGAGCTGAATCAAACATGCTCCCTGTCCTCCAGGAAGAGCTCCCAGCCCGATGGAAGAGGCACACACAGACAGACAGCAGGATCACAGCTGTCATTGAGCAAAGCCCAGAAGTTTTGCTGGGGCAGGAGAGAGCAGCCCAGGAGGCTTCACAAAGGAGGAAATGCTTGAGATTCATTTTGAAGGACGGAAACAATAGTGACTGGCTAAGGCCCCTAGCAATCAGAGGAGGGAGGGAGGAAACAGTCACGAAGGGAACAGCGTCTGTATAGAGGCCCTGAGCTGAGAGCCACAGAATGGTGATCCTGGGTGTTTTTCCAGCACCACCAAATAGTGAAAAATTCTACCCTGAGACAGTGTCAAATCCCATAGGTCAAGGGCTCAGTCCCACAAGGCCAGCTGTCCCCACCCCACCCCCCATTTCAGAAGCCAATAGTAAGTCCAGGTTGTCATCTGTGCTTCTGTGCATCATTTCTGATTACTTTGCTAGAGCAGTTCACAGAATTAAGGAAAACAGCTTACCCACTGGATAACCAGTTTATTATAAAAGAATACAACTCAGGAACAGCCAGGGGGAAGAGATGCACAGGGCAAAGTATGGGGAAGCGGTGTGGAGCTTCCATGCTCTCTTTGGGTGCACTATTCACCCAAGAACTCCAGGTGTTCACCAATCCAGAGATCTCTGAACCCCATGCTTTTGGAGTTTTATGGAGGCTTCATTACATAGGCATGATTGGTTAAATCAGTGGTCACTGGCTATTGATTCAACCTTCAGCCCTTCTTTTCTTGGAGCTAAAAGCTCCAACCCTGGGCCTCTGGTTAGTTTCCCTGGCAACCAGTCCCTACCTTTAGTCACTTTCCAGAAGTCACCTTATGAATATAAACTCAGATGTGGTTGAAAAAAGTTTGTTATAAATATCAGTATACCTTTATCACTCTTATCACTTAGGAAATTCCAAGGGTTTTAGGAGCTCTGTGTCAGAAATGGGGAAACCAAATTGATATTTCTTATTAGAATCACAATATCACAAGTGGTTAGTAGGGAAGGATATGGTCACTCTGGCTACAGTGCCAGATGAAAGAGGTGGCAAGGACTGAAGTGTGAGATTCCGGTGGCTTGGTTTGAGGGGGTGGTGGTGGTGGTGACCACAAGGGTTGGGAGAAAAGGATGGAATTGAGAGATGAGTCGGAAGTGAGTCAGGAGAGTCTGAGACACCCCTTAGGGCCTGAGAGTATCTATTTTAATACTAAAAAATAAAACTTAAAAATATACTTATTATTGATTTAGAAATCAAATGTTAATCCACCCTGTTAATGAACAGGGAAAGCCATAGGCTCATCCAATAGATGCAGGAAAAGGTATTTGACAAAATTCAACGCTGTTATAATAAAAACTCTCAGGAAACTGGGGACAGAAGAAAGCTCTCCTAACCTAATAAAGGGTGTCTTCCAAAAAATCTGTAACTAATATCATAAAAACCTGAGTGCTTCCTCCCAAAGATCAGGAAAAATGCTACGATGTCTGCCCTCTATGCTTCTAGTCAGCACTGCATTGGATGTCTTAGCCAGTGCAACAAAGCAAGAAAAAGAAACGCATACACACTGGATGTGAAGGAAAATTCTTTATTCACAGACAAGATTATCTACATAGAAAACTGGATGGGATTTACAAAAAAAGCTAATCGAACTAATAAATGAGCTTAGCAATGTTGTATGATACAGGTCAATACAAAATATAAAATTTAGTTGTATACACTAGTCATGAACAATTGGAAACTAAAATTTTAAAACACCACTTATAAAACAGCATGAAACACTTAAGGATAACTCTGACAAAGATATGCAGCAACTGCATCCTTGAAACTACAGAACATTGCTGACAATTTTGACATTTTTGGAAAAAAATCAAAACTAAATGTTCAATGCTATTGAATGGAGAGTCATAACATTTTCATGGATTGGAAAATTCAATAATAAGATGTCAGTCAGCGGCTTTCCTGCTGGCTCAATGGTAGAGAGTCTGCCTACCAAGGCAGGAGACACGGGCTCGATCCCTGATCCAGGAAGATTCCACGTGCCGTGGAGCAGCCAAGCTTGTGCACCACAACTATTGAGCCTGTGCTCCAGAGCCCAGGAGCTGCAACTACTGGACCCATGTACCACAGCTACCGAAGCCCACTCACCCTAAAGCCCGTGCTCTGCAACAAGAGAAGCTACCTCAATGGGAAGCCCCCCAGCCACAAGTAGAGTGTAGCCCCGACTCATCGCAACTAGAGAAAAGCCCATGCAGCAACGAAGACCAAGTATAGCCAAAAATAAATAAATAAAATTACATATATATAAATGTCAGTCATTTCCAAGTCAAACTACAGATTCAAAATAATCTTAATAAAAATTCTATCAGTCTTTTTTGGTAGAAATTGACAAGATGGATAACCATGTGGAAAAAATGAACCTGATCCTTATGTCATATCATATACAAATAGTAATGAATCACATATCTAAAGGTAAAAGCTTTTGTTCTTTGAAAGACACCATTAAGAAAATGAAAAGACAAGCCTGTCTGGGAGGAAATATTTGCAAAACATATATCTCATGAAGGACTTGGGCTATTAAAAGGAATCTTATAAACTGAAAATAAGACAAAGAACCTGATTTGCAAAATGGGCAAAATATTTGAAGACACATTTTACTAAAGAGGATGTGAAAGTGAAAGTTGCTCAGTCGTGTCTGACTCTTTGCAAACCCATGGACTATATACAGGCCATGAAATTCTCCAGGCCAGAATACTGGAGTGGGTAGCCTTTCCCTTCTCCAGGGGATCTTCCCAACCCAGGGATCAAACCCAGGTCTCCCACATTCCAGGCTGATTCTTTACCAGCTTAACCACAAGGGAAGCCCTAGAATACTGGAATGGGTAGACTATCCCTTCTCCAGAGGTTCTTCCCAACCCAGGAATCAAACCAGAGTCTCCTGCATTATAGGAAGATTCTTTACCAACTGAGCTATGCAAATAAACATATGAAAAGATGCTTAATATCAACAGTCATTAGAGAAATGCAAATGCTCTATCAGTATACCTGCAATAAATAGCTAAAATGGAAAAGATTGATGATATCAAGTGTTGGCAAGGACATGGAGCAATGGATTTCTGAGTGTTGATGGGAATGTAAAATAGTCCAGCCATTGTAGAAAACAATTTGACAGGTTCTTAGAAAGTTGCCATTTACACTCCAATGATTCCACTCCTAGGTTTCTACCCACGAGACATGAAAATTGCTTTCTAGGCTTGCTGCAACAGGTATTTTCCTGAAATTTCTTTCCACTGGTTGTTGTTCAGTTGCTCAGTCATGTCCCACTCTTTGTGACTCTATGAACTGCAGCATGCCAGGCTTCCTATCCTTCACTATCTCCTGGAGTTTGCTCAAACTCATGTCCATGGAATCGGTGATGCCATCCAACTGTCTCACCCTCTGTCATCCCCTTCTCCTCCTGCTCTCAATCTTTCCCAGCATCAGGGGATTTTCCAACGAGTTGGCTCTCACATCAGGTGGCCAAAGTATTGGAGCTTCAGCGTCAGTCCTTCCAATGAATATTCAGGGTTGGTTTCCTTTAGGATTGACTGGTTTGATCTCTTTGCTGTCCAAGGAAGCTCTCCACGGGACTCTTAGATAAATCTCTTTGCTTCATCTCCTACAGCTTCCTCTCAGTATCCACCCTGTACAGAGACTGCAGCTACTCACCAAAGCCCACCAGCTCTGCTTCCTTGGCACCTGGTGATGACCCACTTCTTTCCGTCTGCACTGGGTCACATGTATAGTTAGTTCTTGCCAATGGAATGTGCTTCGGAGGTTTATTAGACTTCTGTGAAGATAATGTGTCTTATTTACTCTCTTCCCTTGTCATCTGGCTTGATGTCCCTGTGGAGAACACAGATGGAAGAAGTCTGAGTCCTAAATGAATATGTAGAGCAGACTTCCCCAGCCCCTAGCCTCCTCTAGCCCCTCCCTGGCCTCAGTAACTGTCACTGGCTCCAAGGTGGTC